AGGAACAGAGAGAGAGAGAGAGAGAGAGAGAGAGAGAGAGAGAGAGAGAGAGAGAGAGAGAGAGAGAGAGAGAGAGAGACCATCTCCTGGAGCAGACGACAAGCCTGAGGGGACAGGGGAAATTGAATATAAAATGATGGTCTCCAAAGGGGGGTGGGCGGGATGGGGAGAAAATAACTTTTTTTAGTAGACTTGGCTCTTAATGTCTCCTTCTGAAAAAAAAAGCTTTAGCACACAGAGTAGTGGAGGCAAAGGAGTGTGGCCACGAAATTCTGCCCCCCATCTCCCTTTTTTTTTCACCAAACACAGCACTCTTCCATCTATCCTTTCTTCAAATCTGAAGAAACTCCAAAAGAACAGAGCTCCCCTAGTGAAAAATATATACTACACATCTCAATATCTGCAGTGGAGGAGAGATTCAAGCTGTACAACCTTGCTAAAAACTTCCCCAAACCCTCACCTCAAAGAAGTGCTTGTACTTCTTGATGCGGTACAGCTCCCTCAGCTCCTCACAGGCGGCCGGGTGGTTGTTGCAGTAGTCCGAGTACATCTCAAAGCCCCGGGCCTGGCCAGCGGAACACACATGGGGGTGGGGGGGAGGTAAAACACAGGTCAAGTAAAAGTTGTTTCGTTTTATTCCAATGCTGGTGATTTTACTTCCACCCACCCTCCCCTCCCCTCCTCATCAACACAATTTAGATCATTTAGGAGGCGGGCTTCAGACCCCACCTGCCAGGGTCAACAACCCAGGCTCAGAGAGAAAAAGGAAGCGCCTGGACATGATAACGACATAAGATCAACATCTTTTCTGTGACAACAGAACAGCGATAATTGTTAAGTTTAAAATCAGAGGTTCTTAAAAAATCCTCAAATTTTTGTGGCAAACATGCGAAGGATTCAAAGTATATTATGGAATTGTCTAATGCAGATTTTATCCAGCCCCTATTCATATAACATAAAATTTGAAAAACGCAAAGATATTGGAATATAAATAGATAATAATGATAACAATAACAATAATAATAATAATAATAATAAAAATAGCATTATATAAACAATATCAACGCTCTGCAGCATGCTATATGCACTTTACAACCAAAAGTATAAGCAGAAGTATAACCAATACAAAATCAGGACAATTTCAGAAATCCTCGATTTCTCCAGAAAATCGGCACCTCAGTAAAACATTTGACACCAAGGAAGAGAACTGTGGCCTGACTCACGTGTGTGAGAAAGCAGTCTCCTAGCTCGCTGAGGTGAGGCTGCTCTTTGTTGACACACAGTTCCAGCTGGAACAGGAGCTCCCGCGCAAACTCGTAGATCTCCTCGATGTTGCTGAAGATGACGGTCACTTTCTCCATGGGGAACATCTCCGGCCGCTTCTTCGCCTGCTTCACGTAGCCCTGGGGGAGTTCAGTTGTAGGATTAGTACGAGTTTTACGGCACTGGCAACACAAATAGGTCATACGAGAGGCCAAGAATAGAGGTATTACTAGAGAGTAACAAACAAAGAAAAGCAGATATGTTTAGGTCAAGGATCAGTACGGCACTTACAACACACCAGAGCACCCGCCAACCACCCACTCCAACAATTTTGGACCTGGACCTAACTCTTTTGCATGCCAAAAAATTAACTACCTACAGCAATGGAGAAGTGGATAGCATGACTAAATGAAGAAAAAGCAGGTGTAGTAGTTAATAACCTTGTTCAGGAAAGTGACTTAAATTCTAAATCAACAATAGTCAGAGAACCAACGTAGTGCCACGTAAAAACTACTGCTCCAAGCGCTAAATACTTGTAAAGAAATGAAGTATCATTATGTTTATTTTCAACTAGACCAATATTATAAACATGGATTTGGAGCACAGATCAGAAAGGTTTTATTTAAATAGGGGATGTGAAAATGACATGCTTTGTCATATTCTTGCGGACATACGTATACCTGGATTGGACATACATGTAGGGGGGCCGTTCAAGAATCTTAGCCCCATTAAAGGTGGGAAAAGTGGATTCTGGCAATAAAAAGATCAACAAGCTGAGATCTACATCTTGCTCTATGGGCTTAAAAATTAATAGAAATGAAATTCCACTTTAATTGATCCCTGTGGAGAAATTTGGTTGACAAAAGCATAACATATAATATAATATCATATGTAGATAAATATGGTACAAAATGAGCATTACTTCGACCACGTCACAGAGGTGCTTCACGTATTCCCGCTCGGCACCGATGATCTCATTCACCACGTTGGCCCGAGCCTGATGCTTGCCCATGAAGGCTGTGGGAGTCGAACCCAGACCTCCGTTCTGAGACATGACCATCTCATCCTCTCCGTCCTCGGCTGCCAGCCAGAGAGCGAGCTCGTCTTCCATCATTTCTTGGTTCACTCGTAGCTGTGGGAGAAATCAATACCGGACTGTTTGAGGAAAGAGTCAGAGACTGCTGACGGTGTACTGTTCAATACAAGGCTGGTCTCATTGTAGCAGGAAAAATCTAAACAACACAGACCTCAACTGACTACAGGGGAAAACAATACTGAACTTTTTGAACCCTGCAGAAACACTCACACAGGGACTAAATTTTTTTAGCACTTTGAGAAAATTAAAAGATCAAAAATTCTACAAATCAACACATCGCCACGCCAACAATTTATATTTCAACCAAAATTACCGCTGTAAACTTCCAATGAGAAATGCCAATTGATTTATTTCCTGAGTCTATATCTGCCTCATATATTCCTGTGTCTGAACTAACAAAGAGACCAGCCCCTGAACAAACCATACACGTATTATTCACAGAATGTGCCAGCAAACAACAGCTTATTGCAGTATTGTAAACACATTGTCACTCAAACACTTTTACACGTATTTGGAAAATTCCATCAGGACGTTTTCATAATTTAAAGTTTTAACTAATCAGACAAAGAGACACGAACTCTTCTTCCCAGGGGTAGTCAACTGTGGTCATTCCATCAGTAGTGTAACTGCTGGTTATTCCATCTGTAGTGTAACTGCTGGTTATTCCATCTGTAGTGTAACTGCTGGTTATTCCATCTGTAGTCTGTAGTGTAACTGCTGGTTATTCCATCTGTAGTCTGTAGTGTAACTGCTGGTTATTCCATCTGTAGTCTGTAGTGTAAC